ATCTTAAATTTTTCAATTTCACTACAAACTATAAAACATTAAATAATGTATTTTTCATATTTTATCATAGATTCGAATAATAGCAATTTTAAAAAAATTGATAATCTATGTACTAACTTTTACCTGTCAATTCTGTGTCCAATGTTAAAATTCAAAATTCCTGCGAAATATTGAAGTTTAAACGTCGTCCTCGTTTTAACTCAAGTGTTGCTAAAAATTACCTACAGAGCCCACCCTTTGCACGACAGTCATCTTGAAAACAATACAATCGGCGAAGTTGTGGTGAATGCACGTATAGTTCCAGTCAAAATTTCAGTACTGTGGTGAGTAGTTATTTTCTTACGTATATATATATATATATATATTTCATTGTAATTTATATAAGGCTGTATGTGATTTGTTGATAAGTAGCATCCACTAATAAAAAATATCAGTAAAATACTTAATTCCGAATTATAATCTCAAATTTGTATCCCATTCATCAGTACCGTGTCGTCAGTTCCATGTTCGGTGTTTCGGTTATCTTTTTTTTGCAAACTTCAATTTAAATTCTGCTTGCACAGAACTTGTTTATTTAATGTTATTATAAACTCATATAAATTTGGTGTGGGTCCCATATCTAATAATTGAGATATCGGTATACCCACAATCCACCAGCCGCCACTGATGTGTGGTATTGTTTGATTTTAAGATATTTAATGTATAAAATGCTCAAAGTTGCAATAAATCTTATATTTTCCAATAAATTATGTATTTAATTAGTACCCTGGTATACACGTCACTTCCCTTGCATTCAAATTTAGAAAACAGAGATATTTCAGAAACTGTTTGAAAAAGTCTGGAACAGTATATTTATTATATTATCTATGTTCTCATAACAAAATACTGTTTAATTTTCTCCGAAAACTATATAAACAAAATGAGGTCAAAAGTTTCCCAACTTTTGTAGAATCACCCATATTTAGATAAAAAAAATTCTCTTGCCACTTCTGGGGGCCCCCTGGTGCTTGGGGCCTTGGTCTCTGAAACCGTGGTAGTTACGCCACTGTTCATCACTGTGACTTTAAATTTCATATTACAAAAAAAATTGCCCAATATCCATAAAATACCTACTTATTTAACGTATTGTTCCACCTAATTGCCTATAATAACCTAATTAGATCGATGGAATTCAAACTAGCGGGAGCGTTACAAAACAACAAACAAAGTAAGACCGCCACCCGACAAGGACATAACCTCCAAATCGCTCGGGAGCAAAAAAGAGCGAAACTGCCCCGAACAGAGACGCGCTATGCTGCGGCAGGAAGAGGGATAGAGAGAGCGATAGGGGGGGGGGAAATAGCATGTAAACAGTAAGAGAACACAATGATGCTTTGGCCATTTATCGCTCCACTATACTGATCATTTCGTTCTGCACAAAGACGTCAAGCGTTCTGCTCATAAAGTAACAAATATCGACTTGAAAACCTCAGAGATGTGATTGGTGGGCGGGGCGGCGGGGTCGCCTTGCCGCTCATTCATTGGCCGAAACCGTCCCCGCCACCTGGAAAAGCGTTTTTTCGCCCTCTCAGTCTCGCACGGCGGCGAATTTGTAGCCGCTCAATCATTTACAAGTTTGCGCTAATTCACCACAAGATTACGGCTGATATTTTCTTGTGTGTGCCCCCTCCTACCCTCCCCCTCGCGTTCCCCTTTTTTGCGCCCGCTTGGACTTCGTTTGCCGACGGAGTTGGCTGTTCCAGGGCTGTAAATCATTTATTTAAATAGTTTTGCGGGTTGATATAACATGTGTTTTGGATTTTTATGAAAAAGATTAGCTCAACAATATATGTCAAAAAGAGTTAATATTGTATTTATTGTAATATTGTATTTATTTAAAACTGTTATTTTACATTTGTTTAAAAAGTTCTCCTGACAACTTAGGTTTCTATAAATAAAATAAACTAAAGCCATTGATTGAAGCAAGTGCTATATTTAAAAAAAATAGTAAAATAAAATGTTTATGGAAAGATGGTATGAATAAAAAATTAAGAAAAAATATGTAAAATTTACATATTTGTCCCCCAAGTGAAAATGATTATTTTTTATTTTTGGTTGTTTCACTGTTGGTCTAGAATATGTTTTTTTGGGAAGCCACCTGGTCTAGTAATAACATAACATGTGGTTCTGCACTAATGCAAGAATTTTAAGAAATCATACATTTTGAAAACTAGAGCTTCACGGAAGATAGCTTCACGGAGGTTAGGATTTCGAATGATTTTTTAAAAACATCCCTTTGTATATTTAAAATAAGGTATTGTATATTTTAACAATTTAATATTTAAAAAAACCACAATTGAAGGGGTCAATGCAAGAAGTGCCTAAGACACATTTTCAATTAAATTGTTATTGTGGCTTCATCTAAGAGTTTTCACGTAAGTTTAAAACCAGACAAACTCCCATTGAAGTAAATGCAAACTAAGGCACTTGGGCACATATTTCTGCCACTTTGAAAATACCACCTTACTTGAAACACTCTTACATAAAGCCACAATGTAAATTTAATTGAAAATTTGACTTAGGCACTTCTTCAATTGTACGTACATTAAATATTTATAAAAAAATGTACTTACTGAGATATTACATTTTACGGTGGATATAGGTTTTTAAATAGCAAAGTGAATTATAAAACAGCAACACTCTCATCTGCATATAAATTCTAACTGACCTTTAGGAATCACATGCATCTATAATGTCGTAAACAGAGGTTTTTGCTTATTTAAAATGATTAAAGCGCCATCCGTTGCATAAAATTTAAAACTAAAACAGATTCACGGAGGATATAATCAATTTTTGTAACACCTACATAAATGGTTATAAAAATTATTTCTTTTAATTTTTAATAATATTTTATATTTGATTCGATTGCTTTGGATGTGTTTAATTTACTTAGTTAACTGATATTTTTAGTATACTTTTACTACCTCAGATATTTAAAAACATATAGGTTAACCTAGAAAGAGTAAGAGTCACGGAGGATAGGTTTTAGACTTTTAAAACATTGTAGAAAATAATTAATTGCGGTTAAAAATCTGGAACCTGAGCTGTTGTAATATCTACTTATTTATGAAAGATCAAAACAAATAAAAGTGTAGGTCAAACTCATTTAGTTTTATTAAATATCACGGGGTAACACCTTTAGGGAACATTTCGTGAGATTTACCCATATATACTTACCTACCGAAATTTCTATCGTTATATTCGGCTTCTCATCACTAGATTTTATAACTACCTAATTTTTTTATTTTTTGGACATGTGAGGTTGTCGAGAGAAAGTATATACTATTATACTATTAAGGCTCTCAATCAATTTTGTTCATTTACATTTTTGAATTTTTTTAGTACCTATATTGTTTTAGTTATTGTTAAAAAACTGATATTGTTTTGATTTTTTTTTAACTTTTAATTAAATTATTGTCTAAAATGAGAAAATTTACTTTCTTGCAATGTTTTGATTATTTTTATTTTTTTAGTATGTCAATTTTTTAAATCCTAATTTATTATTTTTTTTAAATTTTTAAATATTTTATACAATAAACAATATTTTATGAAAATATACTTTTTTGACAAACGAATAATAATTATTAACAAAACTTATAATGTTAAAAATTAGTCAATTTAAGAACTAATGATGCTAATTTTAGAAAATTGGGAAAATTAATGAAAAATTAACTCTTTGCAACCAAAAAATCGGCAAATTTGTATTTTTTTAACTTTTCATTATATTGTTGTACAAAAATCGAAAATATATTTTTTACAATAAAGGTTAGCATCATGTTTTTTTTAGTTTTGTTGTTATTTATTTGTAAAATTTTTATTTTTGAAAAATTATGTTTTTAAGATTATGTTAGATTATCCTATTTTTTATTTGCCCAATGAAGGTTTTCTGTAAAAAAATTTTTTCATTTATATTTTTGAATTTTTTGTAGTTTTTTAGTTATTGTTAACAAACTGATAATGTTTTGATTGCATAAAAGGCCATGTTTTGCTTATTTTTATTATTTCAATATGTCAATTTTTTTAATCTTAATTTATTATTTTTTTTATTTTTTTAATTTTTATACAGGTTTATTTTTTTTATAAAAATATACCTACTACATATTTTTTTGACAAACCTAATTTCGAAAATAATAAATTTGATTTTAATTAATATATTTTTTAAGAGAATTATTAACAAAAGTAGTCAATTTAAAAACTAATGATGTTAATTTTAGAAAATTGGGAAAAATAACAAAAAATTAACTTAAAAATCGGCAACTTTTTATTAAAATATTGTACAAAATCCGAAAATCTATTTTTTACAATAAAGGTTGGCATAAGGTTTTTTTAGTTTTGTTGTTATTTTTTTGTACAATTTTTATTTGTAAATCATTTGAAAATCTATGTTTTTTTAATATTATGTTAGATTATCCTATTTTTTATTTGTCCAATGTAGGTTTAAAATTTTTTGTGTCCATTTTACAACTGTAATTTCTAATATTTTACTTTGTTTATATTTTATTTCCTTTATATTTTACATTGTCTTTTGTCTTACTCATCTTTATTATTGCTTTGTGACAAAACTTTTGTCAAAACCGATTTTATTCGCCATAAAATCCTAGCTACGTTACAAAACCCGCCCTACTTATATACAACCTACAACAAACAAAAATTCCTGCACACACATTCATACATTTCGCACAATTTACCCCTTTCACCCACTCCACATCAATCTCGCAAGAACCCAGAAATTGTTCGCGTCGAGCAAAAAAAAGGAAAACTTATTTGTAAACACACGAGAACGAATCAAGAACACTTTGGGGTGATAACTTTCAACAAGAAACAAAGAGAAAAGACACGGAATTGCACATAGTGAAGCGTGTAAAATCCTCGTAACGAGCCCTTTAAACGCAAAACCGTTAGGGGAGGAACAAAGAGGGAAAACGCGCCGGCAACGCGTTGGACAGAGACGACAAGAGACAGGTAAAGTTAGGGGTGGCATTGCTCGAAGAGGGTGTGGCAACGTTGTACACGCCCCTAAGAGCGAACCCTACGAGCGTTTATTCGGGATGCCTATTTCCACATAGACAATCTAACCAAACGTTCGTCGGTGCTCCCAAAAAACGACGTGCTTTAAAAAAGTGAAGTGCACATGTGGACATGAGTTCCCCGGTACGCGATATCGACGTTAACGTGGTCTCGTCTCCGGAGTCCTGTTCCCGGAACGACTCGCCAGAACCGGAATACCGGCACTCGAACATTACGTGTTTTCCGGTAATAAAAACCAACAGTGACGATGAAAAGGAGAAAGACTTAAAATCGACAGCGCCCAAGAGCTCTGGAGCTTCCACGAACTTCTCCATCTCCAGTATTTTGTCCAGGAGTGAACCGACGGCAAAGAAAAACGGTTTTACCTCCACGCAAAATGTGCTGGAAAACTCTCAAGCCGACAACGCTGTACTATCAAGGTAAAATTATTAATAGTTTTAAAACGATAAAGTAAGAAACATACAGCCGTTATAAACAAATAGATTACCCAAACAATAGTGAGATGTAATTTAAAAGAGTTTTCAAAGTAAAAAAGAACTGAAAAACTTTTGACAACAAATATTAAAAAACGCAAATATTCCAAATCAAATTGCTATCATATAATATATCTCAAAATACATCTCACCAATGTTTGGGTAAACTCTTTGTTTATAACTGCTGCGCTTAACAGCAAAAGGCAATCAAATACACCACAATATTTGATTGCATTTGCTGTTAAGTACAGCAGTTATAAACAAAGAGATTACCCGAACAATGGTGAGATGTGATTTAAAACAGCCCACAGTAAAAAATACTTTTGACAACATAAACAATTGTCAGATAAAGGCAATATCGCAAGCCGACAACGCTGTACTATCAAGGTAAAATATTAATAGTTTTAAAACGTTAAAGTAAGAAACATACAGCAGTTATAAACAAATAGATTACCCAAACAATAGTGAGATGTAATTTAAAAGAGTTTTCAAAGTAAAAAAGAACTGAAAAACTTGACAACAAATATTAAAAAACGCAACTATTCCAAATCAAATTGCTATCATATAATATATCTCATAATACATCTCACCATTGTTTGGGTAATCTCTTTGTTTATAACTGCTGTTAAGTACAGCACTTATAAACAAAGAGATTACCCGAACAATGGTGAGATGTGATTTAAAAAAGCCCACAGTAAAAAAAAAACTTTTGAAACATAAACAAATGTCAAATAAAGGCAATATTCCAAATCAATTCGCCTCATTAAATTTAAACATACTTCCGAATTTATTCGCCAAGGCAATCGCATTTACTTTTAAATCCTGCTCTATTGCTGTGCAAATCAATAAATGTTAGCGAATAAATTGAATTCGACACCTTATTTTTAAGGCTTCGATGTTTAACATTGAATTTAATAGTGTTACTATTTAAATAAATCGATACCTATTAGAGTTAAGCCTCGAATAAACGTTATAATTAAATAAAAACGGCTAAAATATATTTTCAAATGTTTTTAAAAGTATTTATTAACGTTTAAAATTTCTTTTCTTTTAAAGATACATACCTATATAGAGATAAAAGATTTACATAAAATAGTTTTTAAGTTTTAGCTGTTAATCTTACTACTAACTACTTTAATTTTTATTTTAAAGTTTCTTTATTAAAATATTTATTTAGGATTTTTTTTTAATTTTCTATACCTTGGCTATACTTCACGCTACTAAAATTTAAATAGGTGCGATTTGTACATAATTACCCTTTAACAATTAATTAGACAAAAATGATTAATTACTACAGTTATTATAATAGTGGCTTATGGACATTAAACAGATAATTCTTATGTAAAATTATCCCCTGAATCCAAAAACACCTTCAAAAATTATGAAAGTAGAGCAGTTTTTAAGATATAGTCCATTCTATATTATATAGCAAATTGACTATATCTCAAAAACTGTTCTACTTTTCAAACTTTTGACGAAATTTTCGGATTCAGGGGACATGAATTGATTGCTAAATGTTCGGGATACAAATTGCTATTGACGAGAATTATTAGTGGCTGCTTTTTCGCTACTTACCAATTCATTTAAAGTGAGTATACTCACTTTAAATGAATTGGTAAGTAGCGAAAAAGCAGCCACTAATAATTCTCTATAGATACTCTGTAAAAGTTTAATTCGCCAAAGTAATATTTTTAATAAAAAAACAGATTTTTTTGCATTTTACGGCAAAACGGTTAAAGGTACACGTAAAAAGTAAAAATCACTTTTATAGGAAATACAATTTCCTATAAAATATGTCACAGCATTTACTCTCAAATATTTAAAAAGTACTAAGTAGATACCGGCCTTTTAGGCTAAAATTAAAAAAATAAATCAAAAATAACAATTTTTTTAACATTTTCTTTTGTTAAATTATGTCTTTTTTCCGATAATTATAATTATTGTGGAAAATTGAATTTCATATTAGTTATTAATGTCATAAGTGGGTCTTTTGGTGCTAAGCTCAAATTTTCACAACTGAAATTGAAATTGAAAAATTTTATATTTAAAACACAGTTTTATTTGTTAAACGATAAATAATTCGTACAATTATAATAACAATTATTAAAAGTATAAAGGTCAATAAAACGTGCATTTTAACTTTTCAAATATTGACGTTGCGAAACTATTTAATACTTTGTATTTTTGTATTGAGTTAATAAAATAATTTTTATATATATATATTTATATTTTTAACGATTGTATGACATTTGACAACTGTCAGCTACGAGTATCTAAAAAACAACTTCAAGCCGTGACTAAAAACCTGTTGCTTACTTCAGCCCGTGACTAAAACGCCATACAACCACAATTTTAAACGTAGGAGTAGAAAAGAAGTAGTGTTGTTCTTATTCATATGTTAAATAATATGGAGTTTCATCAAGTAAAGGTCAAAACAATAAACTATTTTGTATCATTGTTCTAAAAACAATGTTATTGTGTATTTAATATCGATTTTCGCAAATTAAAACATGTAAAATGAAAACATGAAATTTACAGCAATTGCAACGGCCCTTAATAATAATTGTAATATTTTATTTTAATTAAATTCCCTCTATTCGTGTATTTCATGTATTTTATTTATATTTATTGATATTTATGTTTTAAACTAAATTAAATACGAATAAACATTTTAATAAATTTTGTATGAATTTTTGGAAAATAGGTTTTATATTTTATTTTATTTATTATTTATTGAAATACATTAATGTTTGTTTGCGTAAAACTAAATGAAAAAACATTTATTGATTGTAAACTTTGTATTGGGATATTAGGCATAACAAAGCAAATCCCTAAGTTTATTTTGTTAGTTGAAAGCAAACCTCTTCATTATTTCCATATTTTACTCTTGTGGCGCGCGATTAAGCCCCAACAAAGATTGTTTTTATCTCGAGAATCTCGGCTACTTAGAAAGCATAAAATCCATAAGTCTAAAGATGCTTGAACCGATTAGACAAGGAACGCCTGAAGAGATCAGCTCATGGCTTGACTGTGCGCTTTTGGATTATTCCACCAAAAGATTTCCCTCTTTCTTTCTTGCTTTTCCAATTATTTATATTACTTCCCTAACTACATAGTAGTTTTTACACGGTATATCAATCAGTAAGGTTAAAAGCCACAACTTTACTTAAGATTCTTAATAAAGTTGTGGCTTTACAATTTGGGACTAATCTCGAGTTAAAAACCCCCAACTAGGTTCAATTACATTCATAAATAGCGTAAATGACTGCTATGCTCTTTCTGTGCTGTGATGCTGGTAAATATGTATTTTTAAAAAACTTATAAAGTTCTTAAGTTAAGTACGCAGGTGACCATGGTGCGCAATTGATAATTATCACCGAATGAAATAATGTATACAACTTAAACCAAAGGAAACTTAAATATTAGTTAAAAAATCGTGGGTACTTAAAAAATCAGATTTAGTTTAATAAGATAATTATTACCAAAAAAAGTGATATTTTTATGGAAAAATTATTGCAGAATCATATAAGAAGAAAAATCAAACAAAATTGTTTTTTTTTTCAAATTAAAAATATCATAATGTGTATAACTTTTTACAAATAATAAAATTTCGTATTAGGGTACTTTTGGGTCGATAATTCGGAATTCCCGGCGGCAATCTTTCAACTTAAAGTCTATCTCTCATTAAATTTGCATCGACTTAAGTGTTTTTCCAAGACGACGACGTCGGTGGATGGAGGAGACATTGGGGGGTAGAAAGGGGGGAACGACGAAGTTTCGCTAGCGGAACAAGATTTCCTGACTTCCGCTAAATTCCCTAAGAAGCTTACCGAACCCATTTAAGTGCCTCTATATTGCTACATAATCAACAAACAACAATTTTCCTATACAGCATACCGCTATGATAAAAATTACCTTACATAATATGTATATTATACTGTATACATAACTATGTTCACGTACTCTCTTACAATGAATTAGTAAAAAATGACCAACTATAAGTCATATTTAACTTAAATTAATAGATTTATATTTAAAAAAGTTTTGATTCAGTCGGGATTTGAACTCTGGTCTGTCGAGCAGATGTCGTAACCAATGAGCCATCAGTCACTTTTATAAAAACAGTTCAATATATTTTTTGTGTTGCAATAAATTAGTAAAACTATTTAAGTAGTAAACAAATCACTATTTAAAAGTAAAAACGACTATTTAATTAGTCAAAAATGCTGGTACTAATTCAAATACATTCAATACATGTGTATAATCTAGTTTAAGAAATCAATAAATATTAAAAAATTGCTTGAAAATGTCAGAATTTTAAAAATGTTTAAACCGAAAGTGGATACCTAAATAGTTATTTATGTATTAAGGCAGTAAAGTCGTATTTTTAAAAAATGACTTTAATGCCGAGGTGCATATTAAATTTTATCCAAATCACATTTAATAATACTAATAACTAATATGATTAAATCAAATGTCATTTGATGATCAAATCAAATGTCAAGTGTCTACATATACTGTTTGTTGCGACTTATATATTTGCCCACCGCGGCGATTTTTTAATCTAATTAATAAAATTAACTTATTATTTTTATTAAACAACATTTTATGAATTCGAACTCCGCGACGGTGCTTTTTTTTAAAATATTATTTAGTTGCTGCTGAGGAGCAGTAGACACATCTTAAAATGTATAATGGGTTGCATACAATACTCGTATTAAATCGGCAGTAAAGTTCTAGTTTACTGCCGATTTCTTTTACTTTCGAATAAACGTTTTTTACATAACGATATAATATGTCTTTATTATTTTCATTAACATTATTCGTTATGCCTTTAAGTACCAAAATTTCTCTTCAAAATCCTTTTAAAATTCTTCCGATATCTTTCCACAGCTTTAGGAAATGATGTAACAAGATTTTTTAAACAAAAAGTACATTATAATGTAGAATCCGGATTTAGCATGTCAAATACCTTCGGAAGAATATAAGTCTACTGTAGACCCAGATCTTCAACATTTTAAAGGGGACAAGGTGTAAGTTGTCCCCTATTTTTAGAGTAAAGTTTCCCTAAAAAAAAATTAGTCAAAAATTACTAATTGTCATAGCGAAAAAGCAGCCACTAATAATTCTCGTCAACAGCAATTTGTATTCCGGACATTTAGCAGTCAATTCCCATGTAAAATTGTCCGCTAAATCCAAAAATGTCGTCAAAAGTTATAAAGGTAGAACAGTTTTTGAGATACGGTCATTTTGTACTTCAAGCCTCTATAAAAACCATGTTTTTAAAAGTTTAAATACAGTGTGATTCATTTGTTTTCGACTCACCCCTGTAAAATCTTTATTTATTGTGCGATTTTAACGAGATTTGTTTTAGAGTGTAGATTTTGATAAACTGTATTTTTGGAGTAAAAAAACTTAATATATTTACAAAATGCAATGGTTACTATGTCAGTTATTGAGAGTAAATATTTAAGAATAGATAATTTTTCAAAAATTTACAGATAAACTTTTAAATTTAAATTTAATTCTGAATATTTTTGTCAATACGTGGAAATGTAAAACTGTTTAATCCAGCAAAAATGTATGTCGTTCAAAATATACAAAACCCCATTCCCAGTAAAATTTAATTCGAAAACTCCAATTGTCCAAAAACATGACGTCATTTTTAACAATTACCTACCGACAAAATTGGCAACATGTTTTATAAAACAAAACAATTTTAAATGTTGTTAAAACACAATCCATCCGGCTATCAAGGTAATTGTTGGCGGTTTTTGTCAAATTATTTTATTTTCAACAATAAATTTTTGTTTCATTCTGATTTAAATTGCGTATAAATTGTTTAATATTACTTAAAACACCATTAAATCTATGTAAATATATCCTCCATAATAAAATTGGTCTTTGGTGTCAATTTTTTTAACAATAATTTCTTTTTTTCTAGGTTAGGTCTTATGTCACATTTTGGAGCCCTAGCGGCAGCCAGCAGTCGATATGCAGCCCTATGTGGGGGCGCTTCTGATCCCAGGACATTGCCATGGTATTGGGGAAGGATACCATCACAAATTCCACAGGATAAACCCAGCCCAAATGGTAAATATTAATTTCAATTTTCTCTTGGGGTTAAATTATTGTCTATAGTTATAAGTACTACCCGTGGATAAAAGTCAATTCTCGTCGCCTCATTGGACAGTAACCCATGGAGAAAATGGTCAATTTACTCCACAGTTCAAGACTCAGGCAGTTTCTCAATTGAAAACGTACAAGAAATATACTAATTCTTTAATACAATTAAAAAAAAATACACTTACACTTTTTTGCTGCCTGTTTTAAATTCCTATAAATTGTAGAAGAAAAGAAACATGTTATGAAAACAATTTAGAATGTCAAATTATAGTTAAATACACGAAAACACATTTTAAAATAGGGAAAAATCCGTTTAAGAATATTAAATTACATTATAACACTATATGATAATGGTATATTAAAGAACTAATGCCATAAGACGTCATTTTGACGCACGCGGACAATTTATATGGACGAGTGCGACAAAAGGTCTTATGACATGAGTTCTTTATGCTATTTTATCTATTTTGCAATAATTCTATAAAAAAAATTAATTTTATACCTTAAATTTAATTTGGTCGAATTTTACTTTAGTTAGTTGGTATCACAGTCATTGGTTTGACAGTTAATGTCAAAATCGATTCGCCATGCCGTCCTTAATTTACTTATTTACAAAAGCGGCTGTTAATGTTAAAGAAGAAAATACAAAATTTATTGCCAAAAAAGTCTCATAAGTACTAGAAATATCATAAAAATATTATAACCAATATGCAAAATATTATGCTATTTAAAGTATAGCCAACCTATAAAATCAAAATTTCGGGTGGGATAGAGTATCTCATTACAGCACCGAAAGAGGTGCTATAATGAAGTCATTATGAACGCAAAATCGATAAAAGCACATTTTGGATTGTCACTAGTATTTTTTATATATTTTTTTAAATATTTATGAAGAAGTTTGACTATATCTCAAAAACTGTTATTCTACCTTTTGACGACATTTTCGGATTCAGGGGACAATTTACATGGAAATTGACTGCTAAATGTTTGGTATACAAATTGCTATTGACGAGAAGTCATTTTTAACTCATTCATTTTTAGAGAGTATACAGGGTGTCCCAAAAGTCAACGATATTCTTTGGAGGACTGATAGACCAACTCATGACTAAGCAGAAAATCAAAATATGACAGTAAAAAATCTTTAGTTTTTGAGGTATAGTCATTTTAATGAATTTTGTAAAACTTGACACCTTAGATCAGTTTTTCGAGTGCCACAGCTACAAAATCTATTATTAATTTAATTTTGAATTGTAATTAATAGCAGTAATATTCAGGGTTACGTAAAATAAAATATAATCTAAGAATATAGAATGATGTAGTTTTGGCACTCGAAAAACTGATTTTATGTGTTAAGTTTCACAAAATTCATAAAAATGACAATATCTTAAAAAATAATGATTTTTACTAAGGTTATGTTTTGATATTCTGATTAGTCATGAGCTGACCTAGTCCTTCAAAGGATATCGTTGAGTTTTGGGACACCCGGTATAAAATGGGGTAGTTAAATTTTTTCTGACCTATACTTTTTATGGTTTTATTCAAGGCGTTTTGTAATATTAAACATTTCTGTGAAATCAGAATTTCAATTGAGTTTACCGTTTTCGAGATATTTACAAAAAATATAAATTTTTATGACGTCACAAACCTCGCCATGTGACCAACATTCTAAGATTTCTATTGGTTGAAAATTACCCTGTTGTCAAGTTGTCTTGTTAATGATTTCATTCGGTTATGTCAGAAAATACCCGAAGAGGTTATGTACAAATACTGTCACTGTCAGTTGAGTGAAAGATGGTCACCAAATTCATTAAGTACCTATCTTCCTTATTACGAGGTATCATATTATTGTTTGATATTTTAGAGTCCAAGGTATATTTAAAAGAATATAAAGAACTAGGCATTATACTAATGAAATGCATTTACGACAAAATATGATTATATGATTATAGGTACTTACTTTATTTGTTTAAAAGCTTCAATGTTCAATGTAACCAACCATTTCACAAGATTCCTCTGCTTTGGAGTCCGTTATTAATAAATCACTTATCTAATATGAATCACAAATAACATAACAATAACATTGATTTTCAATAATCTAAATTTTAAAAAAAACATAACCCGAAAAAAAGAAACGTCAAAAAATCAATTCTTCTTCTTCTTCTCAACTAAAATTATAGATCAAGTGGTTTTAAAACTAAAATATTATAACGTGGCGCCATCTATCGTAAGAATCTTAAACTAAACACACTGGCAACCATAGAAAAAGCTGGCAACGTTGTCAATAGCCTAGTGACGTAATTAGGAGATTTTTTTTGTAAATATCTTGAAAACGGTAAACTCAATTAAAATTCCGATTTCACAGAAATGTTTAAAATTACAAAACGCCTTGAATAAAACCATAAAAAGTATAGGTCAGAAAAAATTTAACTACCCCATTATATCGTAGTAAATGATTCACTTAAATCAAAATTAAGAAATTAGTAAGAAAAAGTATACTGCGAGTGTGTCAGGTTGAGGTGAGAGATATAGTAGCTTTTAGGTAAAAACGGGGCTTCGGAAGCCTTACGCGCCAAGTTTGAGTCTAATCGACGTAAGCCGTACAAATGCGGATCGAAGTGACAAGCGTCGCAGAGCAAATGGGGCGAACACGGGGGTGCAGCAATTTTTATAGAAATTTCACCGAACAATAATCTGCTTTGCGATTAAGGGATTAACGTTGATTACGCAATTTCTTTTTAAATGCCAGCTTTGAAGCCCTTCAAGGTTCAAGTGCAATTTGCTGCAATCACGAGCCTTAAATGCGGTCGTTAAATAGAAAATCATTAGATATCATTTTTGTCAATTTATATTAAATATTAGAGTGTCTCAAAAAAACCGACTATTTTTTTTTTCCAAAGAACATTGAAAATTCGTCAGAGTATCTCTAGAAAATGACCCTGTGAAAGTAAGAGCTCTTAATATTAATATTTAGATGTGGCGTTTTGTAATTTTCTATTTCCCATTTAAATAACATGGGATATTTTTATTTTCAAATTTGGAATTTTGTAACGTGATAACGAGCTACTTTATAAGTATGACGAAATTACTTCTTATAGGAAATTTAATGCCCTACAAAAAAGGTCTGATTGACTTTTTGCGTAAGTCAAGCCGTTTCAAAGATATCGAGCCTCAAACTTCAGAATGTTTAAAATTATGCTTTTTTTTTCTTAAATACAAAAAAATCAGGAGATAACAGAAGAAAATTGATATAAATTGAAATGGACTATTAACATGACTATATAAACAGTAAATATATTATTAATACATAATGTAAATAAATTTATAGTAAACTTCTACCAAATTTTTTTAGGTAAGTGAATATTTTTTGCTAAAAATCAATAAAAATTATCATTTATCAAATTATTAATAATTTTAGATCTGCATTCCATCAAATATATGCATATATTTATTCTCAAGTTAATAATTTTGGGTCTTAAATACATATAAATTGATTTTTTTGTATTTAAGAAAAAAAAGCATAATTTTAAACATTCTGGTTTAAGGCTCGATATCTTTGAAACGGCTTGACTTACGCAAAAAGTCAATCAGACCTTTTTTGTAGAGCATTAAATTTCCTAAAAGGAGTAATTTCGTCATACTTATAAAGTAGCTCGTTATCACGTTACAAAATTCCAAATTTGAAAATAAAAATTTTCCATGTTATTTAAATGGGAAATAGAAAATTACAAAACGCCACATCTAAATATTAATATTAAGAGCTCTTACTTTCACAGGGTCATTTTCTAGAGATACTCTGACGAATTTTCAATGTTCTTTGGAAAAAAAAATAGTCGGTTTTTTTGGGACACTCTATTAAATATATTGTAACGTTTTTACTGTTCGTAGTGTGAATTAAAACACGCACTGGTTTATTAACGAACTAAACGATTTATTTTTATAACTTAATTAAACTTAAAACACTATAAAACTAACTAAACACTTATCTAGAGATGTAAAAAACGGTTTTTTTCAGATGTGAAAAAAAAAACATGAAAAAAAAACTAGAAAAAAACGTTTTTTTTTTGTTTTTTTTTTCAAAATGAAATTTTGAGTAAAATATAGAATATATTACATATAGAATATATCTCATTTTTCATTATTGAAAATTTTGACCAAGACTAAAAAATCTGATTTCTTATTATTTGGTAGTTTCCACATTAAAAACCAATAGCAATATAAAACTTCTACACTAATACAAAAAATTAAAGGATAATTTTTTTTTTGCGATTTTTCGGATAGCTGTATATTTGTTAAAAATGGTCGTATTGGAGCCGTAAAAAAAGCAATTTGAAGCTTGAAGTTTATAGTTTTGAGATTTTTAGATGAAAAACGTGCAACGCTCAATTCTAACGAATACCGTAATAAAAAAAAATCGATTTTTTTTATTTCTTTTTTGGTCCACGGAATGTTCTGACCACCAATGAATAAATGTTCTACAAGAATTTGCTATTGTTTAAAAAAAAAAAATTCATACTAAATTTGAAAAATCATGAAAAAAGTGCTTTTGGTAGCTTTATAAAAAATCAAGCGCTGAATCAAAAATATATGTAGTTACTTTTTTAGGACCAAATCAAAACAAGCGCGGCCCTTATTGGTCAAATCGGTGGTTGTGGCGAGTGCATAACGCGAGACTGTATTTACATTTAATAATAGTCATTTAGTGGCTAATTTTAGTCCATGGAAACATAAAAAATTAGGCAAATGGGACTAAACAATGAAAAAAAACCTGAAAAAAAACAAAAAAAACGGACCGTTTTTTTTTTCAAGTCGCATCTCTACACTTAACTACTAAATATTTATATATCACTATACATATTTATATATCACTATAGTGATATATAGTATACTGTATTAGAGTCTATATATAGTATACTGTATTAGAGTCTATTTGCACGTATATTTATTTATTTCGTCGCGAGTACCAAAGCTTGACTAACTGCTCCATGCTGCGCTGTTCCTTATGTATTCAGTACCTACGTGACGCACGTCATGCAAGCGCCTTTCCGAACATTCCAGCGAGCTCCGGTGTGCTCTCGATCGACTCACCGGCGATGAGTCATCGTTCCGAGATCCAGAGCCGTACTCGCTACAATATATTTATTTTAAACAAATATTAGAAATAGTAATTTTCGCCAATTGGATAATCTCTGGAGTTGCCTAAAAGGGTCCAGATTTCGAAAGGAATAGCCATAAACTTGACTTTTGTGGTCTCTGTTTGAAATGTGGTTAACCTAGAACTTTATCTACTAGGGAGGGTTCAAAACCATTGCCTCTAGCGATGTCTTTTATAAAACTTTCTTTCTTTTGTTGAAGGTGGCTCAACAAACGACGACCAATCACCACCAACATCGCCGCGCGATCACCACCATCAAACCACCAACGCGGAAACGTCAAGGTCGCGACCCTCGTCGCCGTTAGATCACCACAGATCGCCCGCATCATCACCAAATCACCACGTGTTGAACTCGTCGCATCCAGCGTTCCTTGATCAGAGTTACATCAGGTCGAAGAGCCCGTACAGAGAGGGCGAGAACATGGTGATAGACGAGGAGATCGACGACGACGAGAGCGATTACGACGGCGACAAGGACAAGATGAAGGGGGGGTCGAGTTTGAGCCCCGGCGGGTCGCTAGCGAACAAGAGGAAAAAGAAAACGCGCACCGTGTTTTCGAGATCCCAAGTGTTCCAGCTGGAGTCCACGTTCGACATGAAGCGGTACCTGTCGTCTTCGGAGAGAGCGGGTCTGGCCGCCAGCCTTCACCTAACCGAAACGCAGGTGAAAATATGGTTCCAGAACCGCCGCAACAAGTGGAAGCGGCAGCTGGCGGCGGAGCTGGAAGCGGCCAATATGGCGCACGCCGCGCAGAGGCTGGTGCGCGTGCCGATCCTCTACCACGAGTCCAACTCGCAAATACGCCATCCGTTCGAGCAGAACCACCCGCTAACTTTGCACCACCCGGATGCTTCCAGTGCAGTGCCCGTGAGTTCCGCCGGTTATCCGAGTTCCCTGTACTACCATCATCAAGCCGCCGTGGCGGCCGCGGTTCACAATTTACCGAGCAGTCCGGTTAACCGACCGCCCATGTCCGGTCTGGTGTGAGACTTGGTGTAAGGGGTAGTGCAAAGGTTTGTTTAAAGGTGTTCATTCGACATGGTTTAAATATGAGGTCAATACTAAACTTCGCATCGGTTAAGTGAGTAGTGGTGCCCATTAAAGTCTCGCATGGTCTTTATATGATAAAAACTGGTAACGAGTCGTCAATTTGTACTGGACTGGAACAGGATTAAAGCTCATTCACATCCACTTAATACGCGTAACTTAACTTAACGTACGTGATAGACGTAAGTTGAAATACATTGAAACCAATGCAGCTCTTTACATTCGTAGAAAACTTATCACACGTAACTTAACGTATCCAAAAGTTGGGTCCGACTCAACTTAAGGGAATACGTGTCTTACGTGAGCCAATCACATGCCCAGTAAAACGATATAGCGCTATCTTGTTGTTTCACTTTTATAGCTAGATAGGCAACCCAGTCTACATCCATGTCTACATTGCGCGTGCTTGTATATTGCGTTCTTTGCGTGTATTAAGTAAATGTAAACAGACAACTTAACAGACGTAGGTTTCTTAAGTTAAGTTAAGTTAAGTTACGCATATTAAGTGGATGTGAATGAGCCTTTACGCAAAACGAGATTTCAAATGTTTTGCGAGACTAGACTTTGTAAAAGTTTCGTCTCATGGGCATCACTATTTTTCAGATATACCTACGGAAAATTTAGTTTCGTGTTTTTACAGATTTATTAAAAATAATGTAAAACAAATGTTTTTGTTACCAAATTGAAGGATTGGTAGAGCAAACACCAACTACAATTGCAGAGCAGACTTTTAAAACGCATTCTGTCCAAAATTTTAATTTTGTCTCTTTCCTAGTTTTTCTTAGTACATGGAGAAATATGAAACTGAGGAACTGATAATAGGTCAAGAGTAGGGTTTTAAAATTTCCGGAAAAATTGAGCATACGAAAAAAAAACAGGTTTTTTTTTTCGAAAAAAAAAGAAAAATTGACTTTTGCATTTTTTAATTTTATTTAAAGGGTAATACGAAAAAAATTAAATTTTCCTAATAATTTTCAAATAAATGCAGTGAACACGATAAAACTGATATCAAGAAAATGTGAATTACAAGGAATAAGTATTACTACTATAATAATTCAGTAAGAATCTTCTACCGGGTCGCAAAAAAATAAATAACAAACTATCGTTTTATTTGACACATCGATTAAAAAAATTATTATTTTGTAATTTAAATTTATAAATAATTAAATTTTTTCAAAAAGGACCCAACCGACAGTATATTTAACGTTTACGTTTATTTTTTCAATTCAATGTTTAGTTTAATTTGTTTTTTTTTTTCTGTATTAATTTATTATCCCATAAGATTTTTTTTTATTAAAATAATGTTAAGTTTTTGATTTACCAAAAAAGTCAATTTTTTCAAGGCCTGGGAAAAAAACGTTTTTTCCCCAATTTTCCGGTTTTTTTTTACACTTTAAAACCATGCCAAAGTAAGCAAGTTTTTTCTTTATCGCTTCTGCATTAGTACCAATGTTTTTAAATAAAAAAATCATAAAAATTAACGCAATTTGTTTGGCACGACACTGGATAAATAAAGTGTAATGGTTGGGGTCGACGGACTAAGTAGAGTGGGCCAGTTGTTTAACTGTGGTTCTTATCGATACCGCTGTCGATGATGATAACGAACCCACTATACTTTTATCGTAGACTGTTGCTAACCAGTGGCTGCCCATATATTAAAAAAAAGCAATAGAGGAAAAAATTGCTTACTTTGACGTGACAAGTCTTATTTAGAGTTCTACAGTTTTTTATCCCTCCCAAAAATTTGCAAAATAAACAGTTGAAAGTTTGCTCCTCAGTTTTGGTTTTGACTTCACTAAATCCTCCAATAAAAAAGTTGTCACCAAATATGATTTAACTTAATTTTTGCAATAAAACTGACTTTTTAAGATGCCCGAATTCTGACTCTAAATCAGCAAATTTGAATATGATCAAAATTTAGGTAACATATATTTTATTTTTATTGGACTTAAAAAATTAAATCAGTAACTAAGCGAACCTTAAACTTTAACTCAATTTTTGTATATTATTATTCATTTGCTTTAATGTATATATTTTGTTTAATATGTTTCATATAATTTTTTGTTTAAAATGTGCAAATAATAGTGTTTAGATTTACATGGTAACTCCAGGAAACGTAATTTTTTTAATGTAAATTTTTGGAGTTACCATATAAAACTATAGAAATGCTTAATGTAAATAAAACAACCGTATTTATATAAATTATTTATTTAAAAATTATGTAGCTATCTGTAAATATATAACCATAAAAATAAACAATTTGTAACAGCTACATACGTTACCTATATGCCAAAAATAACTAGTTTATATTGTCTGTATAATTGTGTAGTAAAATTTGTTGTTACCCAGTCAATAAATGGATATAAAATATGAAAAAATGTTTTTATTTCCGCTTACTTCAGATATTTAATATCTTAAATTCCAGAAGGAAAACCTAACCTCAGAATGGCTCTAAGATCAGGTTTTTGAAAACTTGTGTCAGTGTGTGAGTGTTTAGTACAAATTACAATTACCTGTAGGTAGGAAAATTTCGCAAAGTGGAATGAATTTAAAAAATGATCAGATTACGTAACAAGTTTTGAAAAAATACCTTTTGATACAATATATAATGTAATACAAAATATAATTACAAAAACTAAATATTTTCTACACCTGTGTTTATCTTTGAAACCAATAACATTTTACATAAAACTGTTATAAAATCGAAAAAATCTGTTTTGAATTGATATCATTAGTTCAAACAAATTTTATTTCAGATTAATTAACCAAAATGTTGTTCCCAATGATCGAATCTCGTCTTTTGTGTTTACAATTGGGTGAGGCAATAACAATTTGGTGGAAATTTACTATAGGGGAGAGCAAACATTGACTGAACACAATTGAACTTATCTGTCACAATCGAATCTTTTAACAGATTACTCTAAACGAGAGTTAAAATTTAATCACGTCCCTTTAAACGCATCTGCTACCAACGGGACAATGGAAAAGGTTTGAATTTGAATATTCTGCCATCGACTTCATTTTCATCGTCAGTTTAAAGGGTCTATCAAGAAGAATTAATAAAGTCAGTATTTCAGTAATATTCTAAAAATATTGAAATGAGTCCACAGTTTTTAAACATACCGTATATATTATACAGGGTGTCATTTAACTTGAACCTTATGTCAGTTAGTTTGCATTTTACCAAAAAAAATTTAAAATAAAAATTTGATCGATTTTTCTTCTTATACGATTCTGCAATAATTTTTCTATGAAAAATCACTTTTTTTGGTTTAAGTTTTTATACAATATTTCATTCGGTGATAATTATCAATTGCGCACCATGGTCACTTTTTACCTGCCAGCATTAAATCCTTTAATTTAAAGGATTATTGTACTGTTTTTAATAAAAATATAAATAATGGTATTTAGTTTTAAATAATAATTATTTTTGAGGTATAAAGAAACTATTTATACATAGTTTAACATTATTTAATCAATTTAGTTCGAGATTAATTTGCAGTGGAAGAAAAAATAGAAATGATTTTGATTTATGGAGAAGCAGGCAGGAATCTTGATCATGCTGTTAATATCTACGCTCAGCGTTTTCCGGAAATAATTCGATCCCGAACTTCATTTCACCGTACAGTCAAGCAGTTTACTACAAACGGGAGTGTTCAACCGAAAAAAAGAGTTCGTCGAGCAACAGTCACAGGTGGAAATAATGAAATTAATGTATTAGCATCAACGGCCGCTAATCCTCATGCAAGCACAGGAGAATTATCTAGAGATTTGGGAATATCCCAGAGCAGTGAGCAGAATTATTGGAGAATCGTATACAGAAGGAAAATCGAACAAAATTGTTTTTTTTTCATTATTACAAATATGAAAAAATGTTTTAGACAAAATCTATCTATTTTTAGTCGAATGATCCGAATCTGCAATAAAAAACATTTCAAGTTTCAAGTTAAATGATCATCACCCTGTATACATACATTTAAAAATAAAATTAATTAAAAAATTAGTTTTAAATTTCATAGGCATTTTTAATTCTAACGAACCAACTTTCGGACGTTACGACAAAAAATTACTTTTTATAACTTTTATCTTCGAGGATCTAAATGAAACATTTAACATGGTGGATGATGGGTGTTTAACCACTGAATTAAATTAAAAACGTCGTTTTTATTCTACCATTTGACAGTTGTTAGGACCCCTCAAAATTCGGGTGTATTAATTAGGTTCCTCGATAACCATGTACACAAAAATTGCAATGATGATATCTTAGATTATTACCATGATTATGCATTCATATATTTTAATGGTATGTTGTACAGGGTGATACATTTGGGAAGCATTTTCTGCTTTCAAAATTTGGTTATTGGTTTATAAATAAATCTCGAGATGTATTCATGAAACAATGATCAAACTTGCACGGTAAAAAAATATTTTTTAATTTTAACCAAATATTAACCAACTTTATGTTAAGATTACAACTAACTGCCCAAGCAGCATTTTTGGTTCAAAAAACCAAAAAACTTGGTTGCCCCCAAGAAGACATTGCAACTTTATAAAAGGTGTTATAAGTAAAAAAAAACTTTCAAGTAAATTTATTTGTAGCAGTTACTTTCATGCTACCTAAAGAGTACATTATAATTATTTTTACTTTGTAGTCCCTTTGCAAGTTAAAATCTCGAAACTGGAACATAAGTTAATAACTTAAAAGTTATTATTTTAGTATTTGGAACGTTTATGGTACCAACCAAAACTACCGTAAAGTAAATTAAGGTGGAAAAAACTTTAGAGTAGCGAAAACTACTTCTTATCGGCCATTTTTTACTGTACAGTATCACGTGGTAATGTAAATAATAAATTATTTTAATTGTTTGTAAGTGGTTGTTTACCTTTTAATAAATAGTAATTTTGTTGGTAATAGACGGTATTAATAATTAAATAAAAAATTAATATAAATATTAAGATTTTTTTATTTATAAACATTATGAAATAAATAATTTGTTTATACTTAAATATTGATTTTACAAAAACTAAATTCATAAGTTCAACAGTAAAATTTAAAGGGTTTATAAATGTATATGCCTAATTAAACATTATATTGTTATTCTGGAAGTTATAAACTACCAGTACATATTTAATAAACGACGACATTGAAAAGCCAAGTCCGTAGTGGTTCCATTTAAAAAAGGAGGGATAGTATAATCTAATATAAGTTTGACAAAGACAGTTAATATAGAAGTAAAAACAAATAAATAAAAGTAATTATAACGCTCTAGCAACGATATTGAAACGTTCTAGTATCGTAGCAGCTACGTTCCAAATAGTAGCACTTTAGTCGTAACTTAGTAATGAAAGAGTAATATAATAACGATATAACGTATAATAATATAAAGAGACCGGCGACTGTCGCAAAACACTTTAGTTTCTTCAATAGTCCCTTATACGTAACAAATACTTAAATTGTTGCTTGGGTGTAATCTGTTAAATAATTAGTTTGTAATTATAATAAACATTTTGTATATTTAATAACAAAATCCTATATCAATAACTCAACCATATTTCTTGTAATATTTAAAAAGGACCTTATTTTTACAAACCTTTTTGTAGACCCAGTATAAAAAGTATTTAAAAAGAATTTTGATAAGAAATATGGCGTTATTTACCAATTTTCTAAAAAAAAGTTCTACAAAGAAGTATGTTAAAAACCCCGTATAAAGAAGGATATTCGAATCAATAAAAGTTAATATGTAGTTGAAGAGGGTCCACTTTAAAATTTGTGTTTGGTGAATTGGTAATACGTATTAGGGACTCGTGCGCAGATAAAATCACAAGATGTTATCTCTGTGTAGAGGGAGGGTAACAGGGCATGTTAGCTAATACGAGGGGTCTATTAACCTATTATTTAAGTAAACAAAAATCGTCTATTTAATTAGAAATGCCGTACGACAGGAAACGTTAGCGTGT